CTATTTGTTAGACTACAACATCATCTCCTTCCATTTTCTCAGTCCTTCTTCATCAAGCAGTACATAGTTCCAATACTGTCAAGAATTATGATTATCAAAGACTTCATAGATTTGAGACAAAAAGACTAGTGCCATCAAACACTTCAAATTCAGACTTTCCATATACCTTTTATTGTTAACTCTTGACTATAGACTAAAGACTTCTTGACTTTTAAATTTTTAAAAATTCACCTAATACTTCTCTATTTTCATTATTTTTAATTTCTTATTTAATTTTTACTTTTACAAATTTCCAAATTTTATGTTTAAGACAATTACCATGTTCCAACTTTTTGTATTTATCATTCATGTATATTTTTCAAAATTTATTAATAAATATAGCGGATGGTAGATGGTTCCATAAGTTAAGCAATAAAGCTGAAAAGTCGTAACGGCGGTACAGCTGGCTTAACTGATGGTCTCCAGTCTCCAGTAACGCTCTCTGTGTTTTTCTTAAATTCGGTCCAATCTGATTATTTAGAGACTTTTACATTTCCTTCAATAAGAAAATTTCAGACCAAAATTCTCTCAGACGTAACAATAAAGATGGGGATTAGATTTAAATCTGCGTTATAACACGACGTGCATAATACACAAAGTAAATCCCAAATTTAGAGAATCAATTTTTTACAAAATGTAAAAACACATCACCCATGTATATTTAATAGAGAGAATTTCAGAAGTTATTTTTACGCACTTCAGTCAACAACTGATATGAATAAAAATTGCCGAGAAAAATGTAAAATATAAAATAAATTGATTTGACTTTTGTGCTGCAACTTAATATCTTTGATCCGAACTATGAATAAAATTAACGTAGAATTAATAAACACTGAAAACATACATCTCAAAATTTTTAGAACAACACTTTTCTTTTTTTGCATTACTAAAATGTAAAAATGGGTTTTTATAACATAAAATACTATAGTAGTGTAATTAAAGCAAAACAGAGGATTGTGTAATCTCAGTTCATCAAATTATTTCGGATTGCTTACATTTGTTAATGAATTATGCCAATTAAAATATACATTGCATGTGAAGTTGCATGTGAAGATTTTCACTGAAACAGGAATAAACTATTAAAAAAGAAACATAAAAAATCGCATAAATTTAAATATTATTTTCTAATATCTCCCGAAACAAATTTTCATTCTAGAGGAAATTTATCCATGGGTTATAATTTTTATTGTCAAAATTACGGAGAAGGATTTCTAAAACTGAAAAATACTTCCATTCCCTTTGGGGAATTTTAAGATTTCTTTTAGTCCGTGTTTTCTAAATAACATTTTCTTGTAAATATTAAATTCTGTTAAATTCCATTATACTATATATTATATTAAATTTAAATTCTGTTAAATTCCATTATATCTTCCAAACTTCATCTGTAAGATGTTGGTTTGATAATAATCTAAAAATTATATTTAGACTTAAAAAATCAATTTTTTTAAAGTTTCCTCGCTTGTCGAAAATATTTATTGCAAGCCTTCTACGCAAGCGTTCAGTTGAAAAAAACTACATATCTTGAATAATTAAGATTACCTATTTTCCTAAACGTTTCTGCTTCAGGATATCAGAAGATAAGTCATAGGATTAATTTATATGGAATAATATCACAAATTTTATTACTGTTTATTTCTATGAGCTGAGATTTTCTGTATTGAATTCACAATAGTGATAATTAGTTTTTGCCGAACTTTTGCTATGATGTATAAAAAATTTTAAGCCAGCATTTAATTGCTCGATAGAAAGCTTAATAAATTTTTCTGCTCTTCTCTATACATAGCGATATTCTTATGGAATTCATGCGCTTTATCTGAACTTATATATCTTATTAATGATTATAAAGAAAGTGTAAATAAATGTTTCTAGGCGTGCCTGGGAATGATACGCTGCTTCAACAAAATTTAATTACGCCAGGCTATTGATTATAAGCAGCGTTCTAAGTGTTCTGGTTTTCTTCATCTTTTAAAAAAACGCATCTATTATTTTGCTTTTTTGAAATAAAACGCATCTCTCTGCTGAAAGGTTTATGAAATTTTGTTTTGTATAGCCTAATAAAAAGAGGTACTATGACATCAAGAGTCGTTGCGTATCATAGCATTTGATCATAATTAATTTAAAAAAGGATGAAGGTATTTTATGATGTTTGAGAATTAAATTAATTAAAAAATCTTATGGGAATTCGTAGACACATCGCTAATTAATTTTCCGATTACAAATGTATATAACTTCAGCAGCTCATAGATTAACATTTTCTTGTTTCTCATAATTTTATTCCTAATAATTAGTTTAAAATTTCCTTGAGTTTAAATGATAAATTTTATTTTATGCTTTTACCAGTCACTCATTATACCTTGAAAATAATGTGAAACTACGAGAAAAGCTCTGTCATTCTGAAACGAATGAAGTTTTTATATCATTAACACTACCTAAAAACCGCGAATTGAAAACTTTTAGGAAAACTAATTTATAGATTTTATATACATTTCGTTTTGAGAAAATTCGGGTTTTTATATTTCTATATAGTAATTTTTTATCTTTGCTTTAACACAGTGCAACACATTCAGAAATATATAACAACAAAGAATGAAGGTGGAAACAGCAATAAATGCATATTCGTGGCTTTGGTTTGATGCTATGAATGAATATTCTTTAGTGCTTTATCATAATTCAAGAAATTAATAATTTATCGCGTTTAAAAATCATTCCTCATTTTTACTGTCACGAAAAAGGGCTTTTTAAAAGCAAAATTTATTGTTGTCCATCTGACAAAATGGTATAAAATCGGTAAATAACTAGCAGAATCTTCTTAGAGTAGGGCATAGTTTTTTGTCAGCCTGGTGGCGTATGCTTTTGCTGAAATGTTTGCTCGGCATATTTTTTAACAGCTATGTAACTTAATAAAATGAACGTTTTTTGAAAATGGTATCTTATTTCCGTAAACCACCAATACTATGATACAAATAGAAAGCTGAAGGAAAAAAGGAATTTTGGATCTTATCCAATTATGTTATTTCCTTTTCGTTTCCATTATTCTGTTGTTGTTTTTTATCAATTTTTACCATTTATGGTCTAGGCAAAAAATAACGATTTTTGTCTCGCTTGGAAAGAAAGTGAAGTAAAAAAAAGACGGATCGCGTTGCAGGAAAGCTAATACCGCCAGCATCAGCATCTAAAAATCAAATTTATTTTCTAGCCTGAGCCTATTCCATTTCGTAAAACTGTATCTTACTCTAAAATAGATTATAAAATAAGCACATATCAGTAAGTATTGCAGATTTCTGATCATATCCATCAGTAAGTTAAAAATAGCGAAGAAGATTTACAATCTTAAAAATCATTAATTAACCCTTTGCGGTAAAATAACTCGTACGGCTCATCATCAGTTTTTTTTATGCCATAACCACATAATGAGATGAGACATTAGTAATTTGACTAAAGTTTTGTGGAGTTCATTGAGTCCAAGTGACCAAGACTTGGAGCAAAATTTTATAAGCTATGTGAGCTGGAGTCAAAATGTTGTAGCAGTTTCAAACTATATATCATTGGACAAGATTGTTGATATGTCCGCATCTGTAGCCCTGAGGACATATGAGGATATTCTATAACTAGACAACTGGTATTTATGTAGTAATCGCATGAAAGAACTAGAGAAAAATTCTGGAGAAACTTCCAAAATCTAAGCTGACGAAAAGAGAAGTCTGAATTATACTTCTTTTCTAGTTTTGATATTTCATAATGAATTACAACTATACTTTCCATTTTCAAAATATATGAATCATAAAATAAAATTTGTTATCTTTATAATAGTTTGTATTGTATAGTGATTCATAAAAATTTAATGTTTCTTTTATGCACAGCTTTTTAAAATTAAATCATACCGTAAAGGTTTAGTATTCTTATTTGAAATATTGAAATGGTAGTTTCATATCAGGAAATATGGGGGTCAATAGTCCAGATTTCTAGGATTATTTAGTGTATTTATAACAGTGAAAAAGGAACGTGAAAAAGTAGCTTTGAACCAAGAGGTACATGAAGGATGGGAGACACCTAAAAAGGATAAATATAATGATGATATATTTTATTGTATCATTAGATAAGCTTTTATTACAGTTCAAATTTTATTCCTCATATCACTGTATTTTTTAAATTGTAAGTCGTGCCTAAACTTTCGAGAAATTTTTAAGGGAAAGTGTGTATATTATTGTCGAAGAAATACAAAAATATGGCAATATGGAATACGCAAAAGTCAAAATGTTGACCTGAAACTTCTTTTTATGCCCTTCTGCAAGCATGAAATTTTTGCTTCAATGCTACTTCGTAAAGCCATGTTTTTCACAGTATCTGGATATACAAAAAGGAATCAAAATGAAAAAAATGCTCAAATTCATTTTACGTGCTTTCATAGATACACACCAAACTGCCATGTTGTTAGTGGTAGACTGTTACAACAAAGTAATAGTACTCATTTCTGAAGAGCAATAAAAACTCTCATCACTTTATTAATCAGTGGAATTGAGTAATCAGTTTAGAGGCAGAGTTTCGCCGGAAAGAAAAAAACTGTTAAATTTCGTGCGTAAACCTCGGGGAAATCTGTTACTGTTAAGACACTATTAATTATAAAACTCACAATTTGAGTCTTTTACTTGGAAGAAAAATTGAGTCTAATAATCGTAGAAATATAATATGTAATGTAGCGCAATTTTTGTCAAGTCATCATTAAATTATACGTTAAGTCATGGCAAATGATTGTATTGTCTTGGATATTTAAACAATAAAATATAATGGAACAAGTAGCAAATATAGTAAAGACGCTTTAGAGCTTTCTGTTCCTAAAACTGTAAAGGTATGCAAATTGTGTGTCTTATTTTTTGTTCATTAACAGCATATTGCGTACGAGTATTTAAAACACATGACTGTTTTACAAAATAGTAATGATTTCTGTTCTTGTATAATTGCAGTTTCGTCAAAGAATTGTGAACATTTATATATCAGGCTACTCTACCTCAGTCATCGCTCTCTTGATATCTTTGGGTATTTTCTTTTACTTCCGGTAAGTAAACATAACTCTTCTTCCTTAGACTAATCTATGTGTTGTATACCATTCTTAAAAAAATTATTATTAACCGGTATTCATTTCATATGTTTATTGCATTTAATGCAGTGTCTATCCAACGAACCAAAATGCATGATTTTTTATAACGGTAGTAACTGGAGTTCTTATTTTTGCAAATTACATGTAATTTTACTTTGAACTCACACTTGCACATTTGATTATAGAGTTACCCTAAAATAATATGTAGAACACGTGCTCCAGGCACAATTAAAGCCATTGAAGTAATTGTGAAAGGTATACACTCTCGAAAACTAATTTCATTAAAACGCTAAAGTATATTTTTTATTAAACTACCACCAGTTTTATCAATAAAAGTTCATAACGAAATGTAGAGATGACTTTCAAATATATGAAATATCCAGAAATAAAATTTCTGTTCAATTCAAAGAGAAGGTGTGACTTTCTTTTTCCTCGTGGAAGGATGTCAAATAAATTTCGTAAACATTATTTTAATATTCAATTTGATTTTCTTAACTTTCATTTTCCCTAAGTTTGCTGTTATTTCTTCCTAATTCCTTTTAAACTTCATCTTCTTAAATTTATTTCCTAATCATATTTTTTTTTAATTTAATTTATCTCTTGTTAAAAAATTTCCGTAGTTAATGTTTAAACTTATTTTTAATTTTTTAACTTTAAACCGTCTTTTCCGTCTTCGTAACTCATGATTCTTTTTTTACTTGTTATTTCCCTGGGTAGAAATCATCCAGAGTTATACAAAAATATTCTTCTGAATGTTTTTGCTTTTTGAAGAAACCAGTTCTATGTCAATCACGCTTAAAATCGATAAGAATATGTCAGAAGATTTCGCCAGGATAGTGTCGTTTTTTATTTTATTTATTAATCATCAATAAGAATATGTTAGAAAATTTCGCAAAGGTAGTGTTTTTTATTTTATTTATTAATCATTTTTATATATTTATTATTATTATTTTCTCGTAATTTCTATTTTGCGTGGCATGTTTCTCTTCCTTACAATAAAGTTTTGCGAAGAAAAGTTTGTCATTGTGTTATTTAAAAAGAAAGCGAAATATTTGTACAGTTCTTTGCATTCTTAATTTTTTTTAACTTTTATGGTAGACTTTTTTGAAGTGTTGGACTATAGGGTATTTTTATATACTATATTTTATATACTATAAATCTGACTGCAAAGTATTTTTCATTTGCTTTTTATATGCACTGCTTTATTAAGTTATTTTACTTTCCGGTTTGTTTGCAAAAGCTACAACAGTATATATGTAATTCACTTCGTTTTAATGAGACTGGATGTTAAAATATGGTATTTTATGTAGTTCCTTATTAACCATCTGAATTTCATTGAGAATCATTTTGCTTGAACAAATTAGTTGCATGAACAAAATAGTTTTTCCGATGTCTAAAATAAAACAAATTAAATTACTTTTCCTTGGAAATTCCTCCACGAATTTTTTCTTCCATCACACAAATAGCTGTAGTGGGATTTTTTTTTAATATGTTAACCAAAGACAATTTGCTACGTATGCGGCCTGTCAAGTAATAAATATGTACAGTTAATGAAACGTTAAGAAAAACACTCACTTTATGTACACCTACTCCCCCAAAAAAATTTTTAAAATAAATAAATAAAATAAATAAAGGCCAGGGGGACAGTTTGGTATCTACCGTTCTGTTCAACAGTTTGAAGAAATTCAACTTGGATATTCATATTCCGAGAGCGGGATTTAGGATACATATCAGATTTATACATACCATTGGTCTAACATAAATATGTTGACACAAAATTGGACTTTTTCTGAAATGGCATGGTAATTCTATATTTCGATTCCACGACAGAGACCTATACAAAAACAAAAAAGAATAATAAAAAACATTTAAAAAAAATTTGTAAAATTTGGTGAGAAACGTACTGAATAATTTATGAATATAATTTAGAGCACTTTCTTTACTTTCCGGCAAGAATAATTCACTTGGAGAACTTCTCACTTTATGTTAACCTTTTTGCTTTTTCTTTAATTCTGAATGTGCGGAAAAAAAATGTCTCGATTTTTCGTTCTTGGAAATATTTTTATGTTTAAATATTTTTATTTTTTAATCGGAGTTGTTATTTTTACATTTCTTTGTCCTTTTAAAGAAGTTTATTTTAATTATTTAAGCTGCGTCGTTGAATTATAGTTCTTCAAATACTTACTTTTAATATTTCTGTTTGTTCACTCTCATTGTGTGCTTCAAGAATGTTTATTCACATAAATGTCCTTTTTCCAAGTTTGAGTTTATTTATTTGAATAGTATTTCTTTCGAAAGAATGCTTTGTGATTCAGTATTCGTCATACGATCCTTTTAAAAATTGCATTCTACATTAAAAGAGGAAATGCCGTAAAGCACAGTTCAGTACGTTTTTCAATGGACGCACTCAGAAAAGATATATAAATTAGAAAGTTGTATAATCTATAACTTAATTTAGAATGATATGCATACAAAACGTTTTCCACTGTTTTATCACTGATCGTTATTGCTTTGCACAATTTTCGCATCCTGTATTTGATTTATTAAAATATTACCAGACGTCCATTATGTGACTACGCTAAGAATTGTGTTCATTGATGATTAGATAAGGATCAAGATAAGTGTTAAAGAAATTGGATTACCTCCATGTCGTAGAAAACCACTTTTCATATACTCGCTCATGTAAAGACCTTACTTTGTACTAATCAATTATTTTTATTAAGAAACTTTTTTTTCCCTTCTGGTTTCAATTTCCTGCCAGAATGCAAATTTAAATAACTTATATGTGAGTTAGGAAATAGTATTTAAATAGCAGAACTGAAGAGTTCGTAGTAGATGAGTTAGTTACTATTAGAGCGGGTTACGCATAGAACTAGTTTATGACTTTAGTAAGATTTAGGCCGCATGTTTGCAAATAGGTGCTAGCCACTTACTTTACGATTATTTGATATTTTAGGCTCGGCTTTGCAGTGTGCAGCCGATAAATCTGGTTTAATTTGAAGTAGGAGCCAGTCGTTGAAATTTGATTCATTCTGATTATACATACTATTCTGTTTTTAAGCTATTTAGCCACCAGTGGTAGTTAGTTTGTGAGCACCGAGCCTGTACATATTCTGTTCAGTTTAGTTAAAATAAAAAGGTTCACTAGGGTCTACATTTTATGATCTCTAAACGAACAAGACTCTACACACTTACCTTTTCTTTACTTAGACGCAGTTAGTAATAAACTGGAATAACATTTCGATAAAAATATAAAATTAATGTCAGGAATAATGTCATATATATTGTTCCGTAGGGTTGTGTAGTGATAACTGATGAAACATATTTCTTACAAAAAATTATACAAACCTATAAGAGCATAAGTTAAAATATTGTCTTGTATCATGCACTAGACAAACACATAAACATTTAATTGCATCAGAAATATTGCTTGTTACTGAAAAAAGATGAATAGCATTGCGGAGTTCGAGATGAAAATATTCGTTGGATAAAAATGTTTCATTTCTGATTGTTAAAAATTAGTTTGTTTTGGGGTCCCCTGTTAGGCAGATAGTCCTTATGTGCTTTCCCATATTCTGATAACTAGCCAGCCATATTTTTTTTCACACAAACCTTTACTTTTTTATCTGACGGAATCTTTGATAAAATTCTCATCAAATGCTTTCGGTTAGGAAAACCATATATTTTTTGTTTTGCTTTTATTGGTTCTTTTTTCTCTTTCAAATAAAATTACCGCAAAAGCTTTATTGAATCCTCTAATTTATTATGCTATGAATTTAACTATGTAGGTCAAAGGGTTAGCAGAGATATCGGTGATGTGATGAAATCCTATTCTGGAATGTGATATAAAACAGATGCTTAAAATAAATCACCAAGGGCGCCTTAAGGGGTCATACCTCCCTTAAAAGGCTAAAACGTCGAAAAAATTGAACCATTTCGAAGTACTGTATCTCAAAATATATAAACAGGAAAAAAATAATTTTTTTACTGAACACAAATGAAATATTGTTCTATTTGCAAATGTGACCAAGCATATAAAATGCGAAATAAATATATTTAATAATGCTAAAAACTATATAACATTTTACGGCATCTGAAAATGTAATATCAGATTACTCTTAAATTACAGGCTTATTCAAAATATATTCACTTGGAATATATTTAGTATAGTCACATTATTATTTTGAACCTTTAAAATTTTAAATATATGTAAATTATATATTTTTAAAAAACAGTTAGTAGTTTTATGTTATTGAAAACAGCACAGTTTATAGTACTTTGAGAACACAGCAAAATAATAAAATATAGATGGAAACTGCAAATTTTAGGGTCATGTTGTAGCAAATAAAGTATAGTACATTTGATACAACTTTCATAAGACTATATTGAGTATTTCAATTGTTATTACGCGCAATATTGAAAAATCCTGTTTTGAGAAAAATGACTTTAAAGTTTTTTCACCACATATTACCTAATAAAAACTGTTATTGTACCTTAATCTTATTTAAAATGAAAAACTTATCACATGATAATATTTTCTTCACTTATTTTATATCTGGTGTAAATTTTAACCATTTTCACACTAATACGACTATTCGTATCGTAAAGTGAAATTACAACAAATATTACAAAGACACAAAATATTACTACAAATATTTCAGATGATAGTAATACATACACTAGTAGCATTAAAATGCTCCTGAAAGCTATGTTACTCCTTCAGTTTTATAATTCGTTTTAATTTCATGCATTTTTGCATGACGCTTGGCTAGAGATTAATCCTTTCAAATTAATCTTATTTATTTGAATAAAGTTAACAATTCAAACTAACATAATCAACAAAGTGATCCAAATTGATAAATTTATTTGGTAATTTCAATCGCTAAGTTTCAGAATGTCCATGAAACTCTAAGACTGGCGTGTTATTTTAAGGATCTTAATGATTTTTAAATCTGCAT